TAGTATTGGGTGGTATTGGGTAGTATTGGGTCATAGTCACGGCAATTCGGTGATGTTTTCGGCACCAAATCGCATATTTCCCGATAAAATATGACAGATGGAAGTAAATAACGTCTACAAAGGTGATATTTCACAGTAATAAAGAAGTATTTGGTTCATAACTGGATAGTATGGGGTAGTATTGGGTGGTATTGGGTAGTATTGGGTGGTATTGGGTAGTATTGGGTAATTAGACGCGCCCATCGGCAGAGTGTACTGGACCCGATATATGCTGGATGATTACCAATAATGAGAGGCTGTGCCCAACCTGTTCAAATACGCCTATACAGCAAACGGAGACCAAGACAGGCAAAACTGAACATCTGTTTTTCCACGGCCGCTGTGGCTAATCCTAAATAATGTCAAAAGACAAGTGGGCTTTGTTGAACACCATAATATTAGTAAAGAAGACCATAATATTAGTAAAAAATGTGCATTGAACAGCATGGTAACAGACGGGTGGGCTATTCTTGAGTTACGTACTGGACGTATACTTCCTGTATCTCCTGGCCGTCTCCATCTGCCCTCTCCACAACTCGACATTCTTGTATTTGGTTTTCTTGCACGGCTTCGACGCAAATACTGACTCCTGCCGCCGCCATATTTTTCAATATGAAGAGCTAGGCATACGATTTTCGTAAAAAAAAACAGTTTTATCCATCATCACGAAAACCCCCATAATCGGATTTTATTAATGAAATTTGAGGTAAATAACATTGGTTGTAAAGTGTAAGAGTCAATTTAGATTGAATTAACAAAAACATTCGAAACTAAATGATAGCCACCAAACTTGCAGATTTTTTGTTCATTTTTATGTCATTAGTTTTTTTATATTCCATGTGCTTTTAATAAAAATGTTCGCATTTTTCGTTTGTTTTTCTCTTTGTTGTATATATTCCCTATTTACTGAGAAATGAAAATAACATTGATAAAAGGTTTAGTTCGAAATTTCCGGATTTTCACTTTTCTTGGTTTCTATTATTAGTGCGGCCCAATGGTGATTGGAATGCGTGCCAAATGTCAGTTTCAAGAAATGCATATTACTGTAGCTCAAGTGCATTTTGACACAAGGCGACACCATTGATGTCCGCTCATGCACGTAGTTTTCTTATTCGTATTTCAGATTCCCGACTACGTGAAAAACGCTCAGGTAAATAGTGTGGTTGTCGAAATGCTTGTATGTATCAATGTTGTCAACATAAACAATGGAACTGGAAGTAACATCACGTTGTATAATGCACCCCTTATCAAAAAGTCATTTTCCAAATCATTGAGTAAGTTTTTGTGTACTCCTAACTTTAAATTATTCCATTAAATTTTAAAATCAACAAATATTGAACCGATCATGAACTAATTTAAAGAAAAAAGATGAATTGCAGTGTTTTCATACTTGTGGTTGTGAGTCCGAATAAGCAGTTAACATATATATAAATTAACGATATTAGTATCGGTGTTGATTATTTGATAATTGGTGATTTGAAATTAATATGAAAGTTTTAAAAGGTGTGTTAGTGGATATAGCACTTGCCTTTTACAGCATTTTGACCAACTCTTCATATTTTTACTGTTTAACGTTTCAATATGTATGTGTATTTTGTAAAAAATTCTTGTTATGTATTTTGTTCTTTACATGTGTTTGTCGAAATACAAGCTCTTCGTAGCTTATGTTGTATGTTTATAATATTCGACGTAAAATAAAGCTTCTGTATCTGTATTCTGTATCTGTAAACAATCCCCAATAGTCAACAATACAACCCTTCCTTGCCAATACTAACTTTTGGCTGTCCTGTGTGTTCAAACCGGTGCCCTTGAGTCACCCAAGTGATGAATCCTAACTAGTCCTCTCTAAACATTCCTTACATACGTCTGCACTGTCCTCACATCAATACATCGATCACGGTCAAATGCTGTACCTCTGTATATTATGATAGGCACCCTATACCCCACTTACATGCGCACACGGACAGTTATTGCTCCAACCTTGGAGTCTTTGTCCTTTTGTGGAAGAAGAAGAAGACGGCTGGGGTGTTATTATTAAAATTCTCCGATCAGACATGAAGAAGTATATGGATCACTTGTCACACAACAATGTTTTTTTTTTTTTGATACTCCATTTCTCTCTCACATTACAATGTATTGCGTGCTACCATCCAGGCCATCAAGAGTGATTAATTTAGGTTGATAATCGTTTTTTTGTATTAAAATTAAATATAGTTGAAATATTTAAATCTTTTGATAGTATTTCCATGTTAAATACAATGTGTAGCAAACAGACTGGATCGATCCCTGGCGACCAGGTAGCTCAATTGGTTAGAGCGTCTGTCTAGAGTTCAGAGGGTCCCGTATTTGAACCTCAGTCTAGCTGTTGCATTTCTCTTTTTCCTGTTACACAATGTAATAATTGATGCTGTTGTTTTGTGTTACCTAGTTAGTTTGCCTATGCCTCGTGAGCATAGATATAGTAAATATATGCCTCCCATGTTACCATGGCCACCTATAGGTACACATACACAGATATATCCATGTAGATTTCCATGAGCTAAGTGCAAGTTCATACTGATTTACATGTGCACTGCAGCTGTGTACAATTCCACTAGCTTGACACTCCTGGCTAGTAGATTTTACGTCAGGGCTATTGCTAATTTTTCCGCAGATACTTTGAAAATATATATATAGGTCAGACTAGAAGAATTTTTCAAGATCTGTCTGTGGGCCTTTGGATATGAATGTCACTGGTTCATCTTTCCACACATAATTAGGAAGACGGTAGATTGATTTTCTTTTCATTTGTTGTTGATACAGGACTAACAACCTACAAGGAACAATTGCAACTAATTAAAACCTCTCTCACCCTTTCTTACTTTTGCCATTTTAATATTTGTACATGAGAAACAACAAATATATCATCACATAAAAATTGCACTTACACATTTACATGATATAAATTCTATATCAATACAGAATACGTTTGATTTATTCAGAAATAAATTAAACATACCAGCTATAATTTTGATACCAAACCCCTTCACTAGGGTCGGAGCCATTACCAAAGTATGTGAAGAGTAGGAATCTGCATGTGCAAGGGTTTATATATAGGAGTACTGAATAGAAGAAACTCTCAACCAATCATCTTGCATGCTACACCCACATGACAATTACAATGCAACACATTACAATACCAGTACAATGCAGCATACCTAGGTCACCCTTCTTTAGCTGACGTCACAAACACATTATACAGACACAGATAATCAATCTTGTGACATGAAGTTGTCCCCCCACCCCTGATCAGCTAATTAGGTTACTTTAATCTAACTTGTTATCTGATGGTTTCATCAGATTAGCCCTGTCAGGCTTCTAAGCTATGTAAATATTTTAAACCATGGAATGTCACACTTCAATAATAACTGTAACTTGATCCTTTCATTCCAGCCATATCCCTTTGTTTTTCAGGTAGATGTATTTGATCAATCGCCATGATGGAAGAACTGATGCAACGGATCTTGCCTCCAGACATTTATAGACGTAGGCTGTCCTTTCACCATAGTCCAACTTGACAGAGTTGTTTCAGAAATCACCACACCATTAAAAAAAGTACATTAGTATTCTAGGAAGATTGGAAAGTTATCAAACATTAAACAAAATGGGCACAGGAATACCTTTGTTGAACGAATACAAGCGAGACTTTTTCTACAAGCGTCTCCCTCAGACCATCCTTGGAGGCCCTAAATTGAAGCTTGGTTATGAGGCGCCAGTGTATGTGTATCTGAACCAGGTGTTGTTGTTTATCATCCCCTTTCTGATAGGGGGTGTATTCACCCTCCTTGTGGAGCTGGGTACAGTGACAGATTACATTGCCGTGATTGTGTATGGATGCCTCATATTTGTCTTTGTGCTTGTAACACAGATCTTATCTACAGCTGTCCAGCTTCAGGGTTCATCTGACTTACCTTTTCCCACCAAGAAAAATCTACTTGCTCAGGATGATGAAGTTGACTTTTTCTCATGTTGTGGTGTGGAGACGTTTGAATTTGTTGCACCTAAGAAAAAATTCATTGTAAACATAGTACTGCATTCCTTGGTGGGGGGCTGTATGTGTGGATTTGCCTTGTGGTACCTACTCCCTACAACCCTAGGGGATCTATACAGCTACAACACTGGAGTGACTGTCATACTTTACAGCTTTGGCTGGATCACTCTCTGTGTTGCGCAGTACCCTCTCACTGTAGCAGCCCCTCCAGAGCCTGCCACATATAGGACTTTGGACAGCTGGGAGTTGTCTCCCCTGATGCGACCCTTTTATGTGTTTTTGTGTATTACATTTCATCTTCTGTACAGGTAAGTTCAAAGCTACAAACTTTGAACAGTTGTGTACAATTCCACTTGCCCAAACCCATTTTATGTCATGGTTAGTGTCTTGGTGAAGAGTTTGTTTATCTATAATGAGTCATATAGTTTAGCATGATTTATAGGAATTTTAGGTCACCTAAGCCAAAGGCTCATTACAACAAGCTATTATTTCTCATGAGTAATTCATTCATTCAAATGCTTTTTAGTGTTTTTTCTTGCTGACATGATAGAAAACTTACATGCATTAACAAAAACATTATACTGTATAGTACATCTCAGGTGACAGTTAATTATAATGCTCTTGGGCCTCTTGCTCAAACTCTGCCTGATGATAAATACACTAAATGTGAAATAGTAGATCCCTATTGCAGGTAGCAGATAAAAGGGCATTATAGATTTACTTCATTATTTCATTTTATTCATTATTTCATTATCATATCATCAAACAAAATCTCATTAGAATAAAAGTAAGTGAATTAATATCATAAACATATTTTCAATATCACAGCATTGACTATCATATCAGTATGTCATTTATAAAATAAATCTAATTTGAATCATTGCACGATGCTTACATGTGGATGTCCGCTCATTTGTTTGTCTTTTCAGGTTCCTATCCACAGTGTTCTTGTCCACAGACCAAACTCTCCATGTCATCTTCTCATTCTTGCCATTATTATGGATGCTTGGAATATTACCTCCCCTAGACGCCGTCTTCTACTGGCTGTTCGAACAAGTGCATGTGCACCTTCTTGGAGGGTCAACAAGTGCAACTGGTGTTCGGTGAGTTATACTAATCTTTTTTAATCATCTGTAAAAACCTATTCAAATACACCTCTTGGTTTTATCCACCACATGATACACCTTAGGGGAGGCAACTCTAATATTTTTCATGCAACTTATATACCACAAACAGCAATAGAACTGACAATTTTGAATAAATATATCTCTTTATAATGATATTTTATGAACTGAAGTAGTGCCTCTTTTTTTTAAAGTTAACATTGATGAATTAATGAAAACAATGATTTGCCAAGTTGTCAAAAGATGTACAAATTATATATATAAAACATTTTGAGAAATCCCTTTACTTTCCAAGACCATTTTGTATTTGCAAGTCCTAAAAGAATGTTATGTTTGAATGTGCTGCATCTGTACTTTCACTTTCTAACACATGTATAAAAAGTGAAGTTTTGGATTTCACTTTTATTATTGATATTGTTTAGTTAAAATATACTGGTAAGTTTTTGGTTTTTTTGTTGATTCTAAAACAGTTTTTGTTTTTTTTGTTGATTCTAAAACACCAAAATATAAGTGTATCAGAGTTTTGTGATGTTATTGTACCTGTTTCATCCTCCTTTTCTTTCAGACTAGTGGTAATGTTGACACTGTCCCTAGGTGTGTACCTGGGGGCCTACTTTATCTCAGCGAGTCTGGGGTCAGTACTGATATCAGCTGTGTGTGGCTACCTCCTCAGCACAGATCTGGGCGGCCTCGGGGACCAGGTGCACACCTTCATACATACCCGTAACAAGGTGGCCTCGGGTAGTCACGATGCCAGCAACTCCAACCACAACTGTCAGTTTCTGTGGAAATGGCGACCACTGGAGTTTCTTTACCACTTCATCATGTTGGCGATTGTTGGAGTTTTATCAGGACTCGTCAATTACAATGTGACAAATGATGACAGTGTTTGGAGAATCCTCGGATATGTAATTATTGGATTGTGTGTGATGGAAAAGATTGTGCGAGATATCCAGAGTGTATACATTGTGCTAGGGTTGTGGAGAAATATGTTATATCCACCAACAGCTACCCGGACAAACTTGTTTAAAGATAGAAAAAGAAAATTAAAACCATTAGGTGTTCTTCGAAGGATAATTGTAAACTGGGGTAAGTAGTAATAATGCCAATGAAATGTTCAGTGATCTAGTTTTTATTGGAGATCAGTTTTACAGCATACATGTATATTATTTTTCAATCTTTCGAAAAACGTCTGTTTGACCGGTGTTTCAACTCTAAACCGCTGAAAACAACTTACTAAGCCGGAATGTGCTGAATCAGTAAAGTCAAATGTCAAAAATCATAGACATATTTGAAATGTCGCCCAGTTGCACTCTAATGCTGCAGGCAGTCAGGTAACATGTTTACCCATTCAGCCCCTTATTGGATGTTAAAATGGGGTCAATGTCGCCCCCTTCGTCTCTGTTCTGTGAATCCCCTAATTCCCTCCTAACTCAGATTGATTCTTTGATTTCCTCTTTGTTTGACAATTCATATCAAACTGATGAATCTTATTCCGAATATTATTTCTATCAAGAATTATATGGGCACAGGATTTTTTTATGAAAAAAAGGAAAAAATGACATTGAAATATGTTTGCTGTAAGTGAAATGGCAACATCATATCATGGCTGTACTGTATGTTGTTCATTTCAGTGGCTTTTCCTGGCTTGTTAGGCCTAGTACAGTATAGTGTCTTATTTCAGTGGCTTTTCCTAGCTTGTTATGCCTAGTACAGTATAGTGTCTTATTTGAGTGACTTTTCCTAGCTTGTTATGCCTAGTACAGTATAGTGTCTTATTTCAGTGTCTTTTCCTAGCTTGTTATGCCTAGTACAGTATAGTGTCTTATTTCTGTGGCTTTTCCTAGCTTTTTATGCCTAGTACAGTATAGTGTCTTACATTTATTTCAGTGGCTCCACTGGTCATGTTGGCTTATTGTTCTTTACTGGTGACCAGTACTGACCCGACCAGTAAATCCTTGCGGTCAAATCTGGCTACATATACATCAGTCTGGTACATTTTTGGTGTGGTCAGAGTTTTTCGTTGGGTATGTATACATAATTTATCATTAATGTTTTGAATAAGTAACTATTATATTGTATTGTATTTTGTGTAAAAATAGTGAGTATCGGTATTTAAAAACTATAAATGAAACTGATGGTTGTCGGGTGGCGCTGTGAGTTCCGCACTTGCCTTTCACTAAGGCGGCCGGTGTTCGATTCCCTGATCGGATGTGAACAAGTATGGGGTCACCTGCCGACCATGTGGATTTTCTCAGGGTACTCCGGTTTCCTCCCATATTAAGACCCCTGCTAACATTCGGGCAAACCAGAGTGATTAATATAAGTTGAAATAACTTGTTTCATAATTGTTGTAAACAAAATAAGTTATTTATTTATTTAAAGTGATGATGCTCAAGAATGAAGATAAGAAAAAGGGAACATAACCTTAACTTGGACAGTAATTACAGATTACCACTATTTCATATATCACTGCTACCAATTGCTTAATTATTTTGTATTTTGTAAATTTGCTGTTGTAGGTCTGGCAGAGCACGACCAACTCACTGCTTGAGCTGTCAATTACACACCTCATCCTAGTCACTCTTAGCACCAACTCAACAGTTATAGAGTTTGGGTTGCCCATTCTCTCACTTATCATAGGGCTGTGTAGAGACAGATTCTTCCAGTTCTTGAACAAATTATATTTTTGTTTGTCTCTTTTGATATCATCTTGGACGGACAAGAAACAGCGTCGAGGGTCAACAGCTGTCATCCTTTTCCTGTCCATTGTTCTGTTCCCTGTGGTGCTGGGTATAATACTAGTGGCCACGGCCTTGTCTGCCCCCCTCCTACCTCTGTTCACTTTGCCAGTCTTCTTCATCACTTTTCCACGCCCTAGTAAATTCTGGCCTGAAGCTGTTGGAGCCTCAGCAAATGTGTGTGCTGATTCCATGTTTTACCGACAGTTTGCTCCGAAATTTGCTGAAGTCTTGAGAACAGCATTTGCAGATGGGAGTTTAGGTATGTATGAAAGGGATTGAATAAGGTAACTTAAACGAAGTTAAATTGATATTACAGTAAAATACATATTTTCCCAGAGAATATCTGGTAGCCTAGTATATATACATTGTTACTATGAATTACCTCTAGACTGTTTATAATAAGACAGAGAGAATGTTTAAAGGTGGCCTATTGAATACCATATATGTTTAAGGTGTGTGACAGAATACCAATATTTTCATAAATACCAAGTTCAAGTGCACGTGGTATATGGAGTATTTTGACATATAAGTGAAATATGTATATAGTATTTATGAGAAACCATTCCATATTCTGTTATTTACAAATTGTTTGTCTCAGAGTCTTTTCTTTTCACTACCTGTAGTGTAAAACATCATTCTGATGTTGATTGATTTATCCAGTGAAAATTTTCCAATTTTCATTGCTGAAAGTATATGACTTATTTTTTCATGTTAATTCACAAGAAGAGTCCTAAATTCAGATACCATGGGAATATTCTGACATATTTGAACAAGAAACATGCATTCATTGTTGTCTATTTAGCTTTTAAAAATCAAAACACTCTTGAATAAACTTTTTTAAAACACAATTGCAATATTAGGTAAATAAACACAAATTTAAGGCATTTATTTTGTGTCTATCATGTATAACTACTGTGTTGTAGGTGAGCCAGTGCCAGGCAATCACTATCTGGTGAGGTTCCAGGACCGTCTGGCCTGGGTACAGATCTTAGAGCGAGGCTGTGGATACTGCACAGTCAACATCAAGGGTCTGGAGCTACAGGAGACGTCCTGTCACACGGCCGAGGCTGCCAGACTCGATGACATCTTTGAGGAAGCTTTTGAACGTGAGCGAGGGTTTGCACTTGGGTCACTGAACCAGTATCCCTTACACACCCTTACACCCGTGGATGCAGCATATGTCCACACTTACTCTGATGCCAGAAACGTGCTGACAGGAATCATAGATAGTCCCGATAGTTATCAGACCACAATGACAGCTTTTTCTAAAAGTTTAGTGTGGGTACTACTGCATCATGTGAACCGTTCAAAATGCAGCACCACCCCACCGTTTGTGGACCAGGACAGTGATAGTGGTTGTGACTCGTCAGAGGGCAAAGAGAAAATGGAGATGGAGGAAATCAACCATAACCTAGAGACTATGAACAATAACTTGTCACCCCCTACAGCCCCACGGAGAGTGGTTGGGGCCACCTCCAGGACAGAGACTAAAACTGTGGATACGGTAGTCACGGTTAACAAACCTCCGATAGTGAAGCGGCAGACATCATGGACATCTATAGATAGTTTTGCCGACAGCTTGTGGTCAGATGATGGAATCCTTGATAACAAGACTATCAAAAACACTTCTCAGAAGTCCAATGTTCAAGCATATCCATCTATAGATAACTCAAAGAGTAAAAACAAACTTTCCAATGATAAGGATGACTTAGATGATTTGTTTGAGGAGTTAGACTTTGGTTTACCTGCTTCAGATATTACAAAGCCAAAGCAGGTGCTACAGCCAACTTTCACAACCTTCAAGTCCTCCTCTAAAAACGGGGCCATGGGTAACAACTCTATATACAAACCTGTCACTAACCTGGCCGGCTCCCCCGACTTTAAATGTCCTCATTCGTTCCACATTAGTGTGCCTGCACGGTGGCGTGAGTTGCCAGTGGAGTATTCTCAGCTGTCTCGGTACCTGGACAAGTTCCCTAGGGAGTGGTACCGCTTTGTCCTAGGGACACTAGACTGGTCAGTCACGGGGCAGTCCAAGGAGAAAGTGGCTCTAGATGTTGGCCAAGATGATACTCTTATGAACTGCTATGCACAGCTAGTCATGGCATGCTACTCCATATTTGATGCTCAAGGTAAAAAATAAATTGCATACATTTAAGCTTACAATATGGATTTTAATTGAAATGTTCTTGTTACCTTTACACAAATGTAATTGAAATATTCTCAGATAGTTGGATATTAGTTTATTCTTCATTATTTGTAACAGATAATTTATGACCGCAACAATTGCTAAATTTAGTTGCGATAGTGACTTATAATGACAGTAGCAATAGGTAAATGAAGTTACACTAGTGACTTGTGATATCAGCAACACTGGGTTAATAGACTTACATTAGTGCTTCATCATCGTTAACAGAAATTTGTTTGTCTAGTGTCCTACAGTCCTGCCAGCACCCTATACAAGTACTACACAGGTGATCTCCCCTGGAACGCCATGTTGGATTGGTTATCAGAGGACAAGGAGCTGCATACTCTCGTCCTCAAGTGCTTCAGGTATACCAGTTTGTAATTGTACATGAGACATCGCTTTGGTACTGTAACTGATTTGTAACTTTCAGAGAAACACAGTAAAAATGTGCTGACTTTTGACTGTGCTAATTATAATACTGTTATACATGACATGTACATTGTATTTACTATATTGACTGTTGGCCGTGTAGAATATGTTAACATGTATATTGTACATTGTATGGAGCTTTTGGTTGTGTTGTATTGTGCATGTCCTGAAATACTAAAATATGTAAGGCATAATAGCAAGAAAATAAAGATGACTTAAGGAAGTAGGTATATGATCACTAGACAGTGGACAATAGGTGTACATCTCCCATAGCCTTCAAGGTCAAGTTGGTCAATAAGAACTGGTCAGATAGGAAATTGTTAGAAGTTGTCTTGGCCATCAGCAACTTACAAAAAACAAATGTACATGTGTGAGCAATCGCCTTGAATGTCATACAGACCTGCGTTTTGGATTTTTACTACCATAAAACTGTACATCATACCTTCATTTTAATAAGCATTATATAATAATCAAATTAGTAATTGTCAGGATCTTCAAAGTTAGAGATTATTTAAAGTTCTTTACACAATACATGAATCACCAAATCTTCTGTAGCTAACACACACGTAAGCAAGATATCTGTGTCTGTTGGGCTAGTGTCAAATGTCAAGGTCACACCAGCTTTGATCTCAGACATTCTGTACTTGTTTGTACCTGTAGGTAATTTTTTCTGTGTCTATTGTAATAGGACGTCGGTGGGGATAGCCTGTCCAGCGTCGGTAGATGAAAGTGATCGTATAGTAATTTAGGTTTTCCCCCAAATTATCGACAAACTGACCAGCGGCAATCCACCAAGAATGTCCCGCTGTGTCCGTCTGTACAGTCAGACACAGGTCCGTCAGATGTGGAGGAGTCTCTGAGTTATAAATCAATCAACACCTTGTTTCAATGTTAACTAACGTTTATTAGAGAAAAGAATGAAGGGTAGTGAACCTATATATATTAGCCCCCACATGGTAAAATAAGGCCTATAGGTAAATGTAACTATTCTACAACGGTGAAAACCACCCTCTCCCGGAACACTGAAATACGTCAAGCTAACCAGCCTTAACCTTACCCTAACGTTCCCTAACGTGGGTGTACTGCTTTCAGTACATCGGTAGCACTGTTTTCAGCGCCTCGGTGGAGGGGTTTTCCCCTCCTGGTATAGCCGACTTTCCAGCCACGCAAGTCCCCGATTTTGCTCGTGCATCCGCTTTTATACCCCAGCCTCCTGGCCCTATGTAACATATATCGGACACCCATTCTGATTGGCTTAATCTATGGTGTATGCGCAGTGAACCCTGAACCGCTTCCGGTAACTCCCCAAAATCTGGTTGTCTCAAAAGTAAACACCCATGTAAACAAATAGACTGCACCAGTGATATCGCTACATACGCCGATAGAATAGCCGTACCGAATCTTTAGTTACACTAGGATGGCAATAAAGGGATACACATAGAAAGCAGTAAAACAAACACTTAGGCTAGAAACCTGTTTTCCCACACCATATACACAATTTTTATTTGTTTGCACCTGTTAGTTACGTGTATTTGTTTGTAGGTAATATGTGTTTCTTCCTATAGGTAAGGTGTATTTGTTGGTATCTGTAAGTAACATGTATTTGTTTGTACCTATAAGTACCGTGTATTTGTTTGTACCTGTAAGTACTGTGTATTTGTTGGTACCTATAAGTACTGTGTATTTGTTTGTACCTATAAGTACCTAGTATTTGCTTGTACCTATAAGTACCTAGTATTTGTTTGTACCTGTAAGTATTGTGTATTTGTTTGTACCTGTAAGTACCGTGTATTTGTTTGTACCTGTAAGTACCGTGTATTTGTTTGTACCTATAAGTACTGTGTGTTTGTTTGTACCTGTAAGTACCGTGTATTTGTTTGTACCTGTAAGTACCGTGTATTTGTTTGTACCTATAAGTACCGTGTATTTTTTTGTACCTGTAAGTACGGTGTATTTGTTGGTATCTATAAGTACTGTGTGTGTGTTTGTACCTATAAGTACCGGGTATTTGTTTGTACCTGTAAGTACTGTGTATTTGTTTGTACCTATAAGTACCGTGTTTTTGTTTGTACCTGTAAGTACTGTGTATTTGTTGGTACCTATAAGTACCGTGTATTTGTTTGTACCTGTAGATATGGGTTCAAGCTGATGTTGGACCAGATGTTGCTGGGAGAGGTCACCTCACCAGAGGAGCTACAGGAGTACATGGAGGAATATGACCGGGATTGGTATATTGGGCTGGAGTCTGATGAGCAGTGGAATTCTGCTGTACTGGCTAGTAAACCCAATCTCTTCTCTCTTGGTCATAACAATCAACAGGTATTACCTCTATAACAAAAGAAATCTCTCTCCTGTAATTCTAACTATCAGTAGATATTAAACTCTGCAACAGAGTAAGTCTCTTATCTCTGTATCATAATTAACAGCATCATACATTCACTAACAAGATAATCTGTTTTGTAGTAATCATCACCTTTAATACTCAATAGAAAGCCCCCCCCCCC